CGCGTACAGACCGATTGTATATATTTACGTGCCTCTATATAAAAACACGTCAATCAGGGGGGGGAAGGGGGGGAGGGAAGAATCCAGAAGCTGTTTCTCTGTTTTTTTCTGTTTTTTTTTCCCTCAAAGTTAGGCGAGACGTCAAGTATTACAGTAGCCCGACTCTATACAGCCCCGAGGCGATACGACTCCCGGCCGCCGCTTGGCTGCTCACTTTACATTTCGCGTTGCCGAGCACAAAGACGATCTCGCGACTTATATATACACTGCATTGCACGGCCGTTCCGTGTCACTAATGCATATCATTAAGACGCACGGCGCAAGAGGGCACACACACTTTTCGCGCTGCAGCTGTTTGTTGCACATCAGGTATACCTATACGGCTCGACCGCGACGTGGGCCAAGTTCAGTACAACAAATTAAAAACGACCACACATCTGGTAATTAATCATACCTGGATAAAATGTCGATGCGGATGATTTAAAACTTGGTACAGCGGTTATTGTCGCTGTAGATTCGAAGAGTGTAACTTTGGTGCCCTTTCGCACAGATCCCCTTGGATACATGTATATAGTATATGTTCCTGTTGGGCTCGTGTCCCAAAGTTATGTCATTCGATTCACGCCCCCGCTCGAAACCCGTGCAGCTCGAGTCCTGGTGCTTCTGTGCAAATGTACACATTAGGAAGCGGTCCCTCCCCGAGGATCCGAAATCGAGCTGACGCAAGGAACAATGGAGCGATTCGTTACTTCCTTGTGTGTATAGAACGCACTGCTACTCTACCTATGGGAAGGCCGCTGGAAAACAAAAACTAATTTATCGCCAAACAGATACATACGTGAGTATCGATGCTCCAGACGAAAAGCATTATACCTTTTGTTTTTATGCGAAATTTAAATGGTTCCTGGATACGCGGTTACATTAGCTTTTTCTTTTCTTTATACTCTTGTACTTGAGAAAAAAAAAAAAAAAAAAAAAAAAAAGATTACGAAATGGCACTCTACTGCCTTTTATACAATCGAAAAGTAATGTTATTCGCCCGGGACGTCGGAATTGGTATAGGCACATCGGGCGACGGCATTGTTATTATCATTTCATTTTACGAGGTTCTACGGGATTACGTTTCCTTGTACAAAAATCATGATGATATTAATGCGATGTCACCTCGAATTTCTTTTGTACCTATATTTACTTGTACAAAAATCGACTTAATATACCTTTTTTCGACGCAACTTATTTTTTATATACGTACCTGACACGTTAGGCCCTGTTGGTTTATCTTTGATCCGCCAAGTAGGTGCATGGGATGAATCATAGAGACAAATTACTTTTTAATAACTTTTTGCGTGAAACTTTGCATAGTGGGAAATTCTAGGGATACATCGGGAGACTTGGAAATTTCCTTACCATCAAATAAAAAAATATAATAATTAATGTCAAAGTTAAAGTGCTTTTGTTGGTGATAAACTTGTTTAAAGGAATGTAAAAAACCAAAATTTAAAACTGTATAGGGACGAAACAAAATATTGGTTGCCGTACGATATTTTTTAGCTTTGATGTTTGAAACACACAAAAGTTAGGCGTGGCAATGTAAACACAATAAAGTCATTCGATTGCTGATAATTAAGCAATAAGTACAGATAAAGACGTAATCATAATTCTTAAAAATGATGTTACAATTCCCGAGACAACAATTTTTTATCTATCAGTGGAACCATCGGAAAAAAAAGTTGTAAAGCTTCAAAGGAAATTTCGTTTACCGAACGAATGAGTAACTCAAGAGCGGGAGGTTGTAAATTTTTTTATATCGATACTTTTATCAAACACACGGAAATTTCATTACTCGAGTCCATAAGAAAGATACAAAGGCGCATGTACGTTTATCGAGAATCAGGAGACATGGTGTGGGGTTGTCAAATAAAAAGATTATGAGAATTTGAAGATTGGTACACATTTATTTCTTTTTCTGTTCGATCATCAGACAGTCTAAGAAGCATACAAAATTATTGGAATAGAAAAAGCTCGTTCGTAGGCTTGAAGTAATTTTTTTGGTACGCCAAGTTCGATAAATAAAAAATATTAAGAGCCAACGACTGAATTCAAAAAAGAATCGTTTACAAAAACGTGTCTTGTGTGTTGATGGCATTATTACGGCTAAAGTGGTAATAAAATTACTGTAATAAAATTACATTTGCGTTTGCTGCTGTTTTTTTTTTTTTTTTTTTTTTTTCCTCTGAATCGAAGCGAAATTAATTGACATGTAATGATTTTACAAAAACACACAGATCGGTATAATCGGCAGTAATGAAGCTCAACTTTACTTTATCGATTTGCTCAAAGATGAACATTTGTTTGTCTGAATAATATATATCACTGATTGTTTCAAGTTAAACTTGAATGGCAGTTTTTAGTTTCTTTCGAAAATTGTCTACTTTTTTTTTAATTTTATTGAATTCATTAAATCTTTTATTATTTTCTTTTTAATTTTTAAATACTTTTGACCGATGATCGTTTTAAGGGCTGTTAGATGGCGCTTGTGGGGTCATGCAGCCTTAAAAAAACGGTACTTATATTGCTCTCGTGCACCGTTTTATATATAGTATACCCTATACGTGTATAGATATTAGTTGCAAGTTGTATAAGCCTGAAATTTCTCTCGCTCCTCTTCTGCCCGTGTGCAGCATCGCTGTGAAAAAAAAAAAAAAAAAACACGCGTGTGTATATTCTCGAGATCAGCTAGATAATTGCAGAAATCACAGAGGATATAGGTGCACATGTACGTGATTTGTGCGATGAATNATAATAATAATAATAATAATAATAATAATAATAATGATAATAATAATAATCGCTGTCCGAAAAATTTTTTCGGCAATAACGTTGCGCTTTAAAAAACCACCTAAAATCCGTTAAACAACGACTCATCGAAACATCGTTATGGCCGTCGTTACATTCCCCGTGAAAAAAAAAAAAAAAAAAAAAAACATGCATGCGTGCACGCATCCGCAGTACACAATCTCTTGCTCGCTTACATACGCGCTTCTATTACATCTTCGCAGGAACAAATTTCCTAAAAGATTGCGACCTGAAATTGTTCTCGCGATCACACCTTTTGCTCAATCTCTCGTTTCGATATACACATTATCAACACGCGAGTACACGCTCAAGTGGATGGAATGCAAAGCTTCATGTTTTTGTTTTATCCGTTAATTTATTTATATTTTCTTTTTTTCGTTTATTCCTATTAAAAAATAAAAAATAAAAAAAAAAATAAAAAAAATTAAAAAATCAACAGTTTCTAACACGAGACAACGTCGCCCCGTCGGCGACGGGACTACACACCTATATCCCCCGCTTTCTCTCGCCATATCTCCTCCGCTCGCTCCTTTTGAGAGGGTTTCGCGCTGCCACTGCCGCTCGTATCGAAGTGTCACTCACTATACGGAACATAAAAGCCCTCGCTCGCTTATCCAAACGAAAAATAAAAAATATTCGATCTTTCCTCGCGATGCTCCTACGGATATATACATTTTTTCTCTTTTTCTTTATTCGTTTATTTTTATTTCTTTTTACTTCCAAGTGCGGTCACACACGCGTATACTCAATCTCTCGGAATCACACGAGCAGGGAACATTAACACACACCTACAAAACGCCGTATATACGTGAGAATAGAGTTGGAGCGCAAACAAAAAGAAAACAATGTAATGTGGAATCGACAGAGGTGGAAAAACTAAAAGTAAAGTAAACTGGCAATTCGAGAGTCTGCTGTACACGGGTACGCCAGGTAAGCACACATTATGCACCAGAATCGCGCGGCCGTATATATGTATGTGGGAGTCGTCAAAGTTTATACTTCATTATCGCTGTTAAACAGACGGAATCAGCTTTGTTTTAACAATTATTACAGTCGTCGAGGGCGGCTGGGGTATTTAAATTTCCACCTATACAAATGGCGCTTACCTAGCGCACGCATACGTATATCTATATGGATATACACATGTAGAGGTAAGGATAAAGTATGCGCGGCAGAAAGTGGCACGATAAATGTGTTTGTGTGTGTATGCCTCCCGAGAAACGTTTAAATGACAAAAAGGAAACGGCTCGTTTGCCGAGTAGATTGGCAACTGAAAGACACACTTTAATATGTATATGTATCGCGCGGTACAAGGCTACTGCGAGCCACTGCATGGAAAATTAAAATAATAGATAAAACGAAAGAAAGAAAAAAAAAAAAAAAAAAAAAAAAAGGAAAGACAGAGACAAGGCATTTGGCTCCACAGGATGGCTTTGCCATGCAGACGAGAGAGAGAGAGTGTGTACCACTCCATTGATCACAATATTTTCGCAGTTTTACACAACGAGATAATTTTTTGTTTTTTTGTTTGTTTTGTTTTGTTTTGTCATACTTTTTCTATCTCATCGTTATAATATGATTCCTTACCGCTAGACCGTAGAAACGCTTACGAGTGCTAAAAAAATAAATAGCGCGCGGGATTATTCCTTGACCTTACATGCGAGTTAGATTAGACGCGATTAGGAGATAAAGATATTTATATATAATATATATATATATACGCATTCTTGACATCGTCTTTATTCATTTGCTCCTTTTTTGTTATTTTTTATTTTTTTTATTTTAAAAATAGTAAAAAACAGTGACTAAGTTTTCAGCTTGCCATCCCGACTCGCGTCGAGGATTGGGGCGCGCGCGTTTTCCTCCATCTCTCTCTTTTTCTTTCATTTCATATGCATACTTACACTCGCTACTTGTCCTTACTCACTTTCATGTGTCGCAAATCCATGCATCTTCCTATATATATATATATACGTGCCTATGCAATGTGTACACGCGCACACATCAAGGTGTATACATAATATTTATATACCGTTGCCTAATATATATATATCTATATAGAAATTTTCTCTATATTTATATAATATTTATATAATTTACTTGTACAAAAATCGACTTAATATACCTTTTTTCNATTTATATTTATATGTATAATATGTATATGCACTTGTGCGTACTAGACACGAGAGTATTGTTTTTATGATGCGTTGTACTTACGTGTCTGGGTATGCCGGTGCCGGTATGTTTATAAAAATACACGAATTTTTGGGAATGGACGGGTGCAAGGGGAGATGAAGTTGGAACAGCCGAGTTAGTTGCCTTGGGATAGGTAAGTATTAAGTCTCGTACCTCGCGAGTCGTCAGGACAGAAAGTAAGGTCGTAAGTATACAATTATATGGGGGATCGATGATCGGGGGTGGGGGGTGTATACGGTTGATGGGCGATATGTCTCGTAAGCGTGTGCGTATCGGGGTGGCATTGCACACGGTGATGGCACACAAAGTGCTTAGCACTCGCTGTAGGACGGGGGAGCGAGGCCGCGCGCCGCGTACAACTCAGCCTGAGGCTGGAGGTGACAGACGACCGTGTGACCGTCCAGGACGGCCACGGTGCGCGTGTGATCCTGCTGCGGCCTCAACTGCTGCTCGGCCACCAATTGTTGTTGCTGCTGCTGCTGCTGCTGCTGGTGGTGGTGGTGTTGCTGCTGTTGGCGCCGGAGCCTCTCGATGGCCCAGGCAGCCTCGAGACCGCCTCGCTCGGCGTTCGGCGAGTACGGTATGAGGGGCCGGTGGTCGCCGTAGCTCCGGGACGACTGGCGCGACATGTCGCTCACCCTGCGCCCGTCCTCATCCGACACGTCCGAGGCCTGGCCCGTCGCTCGCTCGATCTCCTCGTACACGGGATCGTCCTGCGATTGCTGCTGCTGGTGATGATGATGATGATGGTGCTGGTACAAATGCTGGGGATGGTGGTGATGGTGGTGGTGATGATGCAGGTGGGCCGCCGCCTGCTGCTGCTGCTGTTGTTGGAGCTGTTGTTCTCGGATCTCGGTGTAAAAGTGGTTGTAGGGGGAGGTGGCCCTGCGTCCAGTGGTGGCGCGCGAGCCAACCTCCAGCTCGGCCAGGAGCCGGCGCTCGCGTGCCCTCAGCGAGTAACCCTGCAGGGTCATGGCGCTGTGATGGCCCGAGCCGGCGACCTCGTGCTCCAGGTCGCGCGCGTGCGGCTTAGAAGAAATGTTCTGCGGACAGCAAAGAAAAAAACACCATACTGTGGGATGCTGCTCCCGAAACCATGACGCGCGCGCGCGTGTGTGAATGCGCAGTTGTACAATATTTTTTGTTGTGTGGTGGCAAAGGGCACTCCGTGGATGAGGGAGAGAAGCATGCAGTATGTGTATAGGTATCACACGCGGGACTCGGGATGAGAGTTAACTGCCGTGGCAATTACACGCGTACGTACTGTTGGCCGCCCGGCTATTTACACGCGTGAAAGGGGGAGTTCCCATACGTAGGTCTTTCACTCGGGGATATACTTATGGTATAGGCTCCGCTGCGGCAGATTGTCCGTCGAACCATACACAACAGAGCCCCGAGGATTAAGTAAGCGCGAAGGACCACACCCTCCCGCAACAATCACCGTTTACTCACATACGTGTCACGTGTATACGTTATAATATTACGCGTCACTCCAACATTATACACATACAAATAATTGTATTGTGGAGGTGAAAACGTGGCGCATTCCCTCATCTCGATGTGTAACGTACCAATGTTATGGGTGTACACGTGTATATGATAATAATAATAATAATATACGGTAACGGGAAGAGGAGGACCGTGTGGCTCCCGGCGCGCGTGCATCTCGGACAGCGCATACCCCCCCCCCCCTCGCCCCTTTTAAGAGCTCCTGGGCCCGTTTATCCGTTTAATTGAGGCGAAAATGTCTTTTTGGCAGGTTGCGTGTCCGCGGGGACCCGGCTATAAATAATTGATAAAGCATTGACGCCCGCCGTACATACAGTAAGTGTATGCATATTATATACATTGAGATTAAAAAACGTATAAGGGATTTTACAGGTATATGCATTATATGGATGTGTGTGTATGCTATGCACTCTCGTCGTAAGTGCAGCCGAACGGAGAGGAGTATGTGTATACCTGTGTTGTAGGTGCATAGTGGCAGCGGAGAGCTCAGCATGCCTACCTACTTATTGATCCCGTGAGAGATGTCAGGCGGCAGAAAGGAGGAAGGCGTGAAATTCAAGAGGCGTGAGTCAATCGATGGGAGGAGGGATATCCTCGGCGGGGACGAAAATAAAAAAAATGAGTAATGAGAAAGTAAGACTCGGAGGAGCGATAAGGTTTTAATGGATTTGCAAGGACGCCTCGATTTCTCTCGCCGAGGTGTGGTGTTGTTGTTTCTTAACTTGCAAATGCGCGAGACGCACCGCGACGAGTTTCAACATATACAGGTATTATATCTCGAGGCCCCGACTGCCACTGCGCTAATGTTGCATGCATCAGCAGCTAAGCACGAGGAGAGGGAAAATAGCCGCAAGAGCTTCCAAGTGAAAGTGCACAAAAGAAGAAGAAGAAGAAGAAGAAAAAGAAACAGCAGCAAACGAGGGATAAGAATGAGTAAGTAGTAAGAGGAGGAGGAGGAGGAGGAGCAGCGGGCGGTGCAGGCATAAGAATAAGCGTTTACATGCACAGAACTATGTGGAGCAAAGAGGGTCGAGGGAGAGGAATATTGTATATGGTATGGGAATACTACACAAAAAAGAGTATAACATGTATATACGAAAAAGAGAAAAAAAGAGAACATCGGAATAAAAAATATAGGAGAGAAAAAAACAGAGAGAGAGACGGAGAGACACTACACAACTTAGTTTACCTTCCACATGAGGTTTTTGTTAAGGGGTCCCCAGGTGGCAGTGCCCGATTTGGGGGTTTCGGGAGCCGGGGTGCCCGGGGTCAGGAAAGAAGAAGAAGAAGATGAAGAAGTAGAATTAGTAGCAGCAGCAGCAGCAGTAGCAGCAGCAGCAGAAGATACGTGGTGTTGTTGGTGATGATGATGGTGCTGGTGGTGCTGGTGAGGTGCGCAGGGAGACAGAGCGTCCACGAGGTGGTGGACGGCTACCGGTTGCTGCTGCTGCTCCTCGTACTCCATCATGACGGGAGAGCCACCAAAGCAACGCCGGTCCCTCTGCTGCTGCTGCTCGTTATCGGTCGGCGTAGTCACCCCGGCTGTGGTGGTCGGGCCTCCCGTCGCCAGCAGGTACTGCAAGCCAACATTCATGTCTCGTGGTCCCTCCAAATTTCCCTCGGCATATTCTTGGCCATATGTATATATATTTTTTTTTTTTTATACCCGTGTATAACCGTATTGTATGGGGCACACGTATGTACACGGGCGCGCGCGCGGGTGTACGTAACTATATTACTTTGTTGTATGTGTATAGAATAGGTGGGTATACCCTATTGAGATAGGTCACGCGAGCCGAGAGCCCCGGCCCCAAGCATACATATATATATATATATATGTATATAACGCGTGTAACAACGCAGGGGAATTTCGATCGCGGCTCCGGGATTTATGATGCTCCTTTTTCGCTGCTGTTGCTGCTGATGCATCAGGGTGCCGGGGAGACTGTAAAGAGAGAGAGAGAGAGAGAGGGAGGGAAGGAAGAAGAAGAAGAAAACGAGCAAAGCGGGGGAGGAGAGGACGATGATACTGTATGCTCGCGTGTTGGCTCGCGTGCTGCTGGACAAGCGAAATTCCGGTGCTCCTTCTCTCTCTCTCTCCCCACGACGAATGAGCCGTAACGATAAGTGAGCCGATTTTCTTGAGGCTCCTCGCGCTTTACTTCCGGACTACGCTCTGGCCGGGCCCTCTCTCTACTGGCGCGCTGATTGCCCCCGACAGGGTCGACGGAAAGGGAAAAAGTGCCGAGGGGACGGGGGCACTAGCGACGGCTACAGAAATGCACTAATGAGAGCGCTCGTTAAGGGAATACTCGCGATTTATGAATTTTCCCTAACAATTACCTTTCCACCGGAGAAAGCCCTCTCTCTCTCTCTCTCTCCCGCGCTCTCGACGACTGAGAGCCTGACAAAGTGAAACGTGTCCTTAAGTAGAACTCGTTTTATCCCGCCTTTTATTAACACGTTTGCGTCGCCAACTCCTAACTCGTCTTTCACTCGACTTTTACTTTACTTTTACGTTTTTTTGTCGGGCCTCTCTCTTTTTTTCTTTTTTTTCCCTTCTTATTTCCCTCCTTGCGCCTCAAATAAACTTATTAAACGAATTCCCCGAGTTTATTCGATGAAGAAATACTGTTGCGATGGTTTTTTTTTTTTTTTTTTTTTTTCCACGCGCGTCCTTTCTAACGTGCAACAACTTCGGGTGTTGTTTCCCGTTTTTCCCGGGGTTCCTCTTCCAAACTGGGTACTCGTATATTCATAAACCCAGCTGCCGTGCACGGGGGAAAATGTGGGGCATTCTCCATGCGGGTATAAATTTTCGCAGCACGAAAAGCGCCGGAATTCATTGTACATCGGCCGCGCGCAGAGTCGTGTGTTTTTTTTTTTCATTTAGAGGTACTGCGTGCGTGGGATTCTCGCAAAAGGTGTGTGTGCGGACCATTGGAAATATTTCGTTGCGAATCGTTGGAGCAGAGGCAGCCAATTTTTTCGACAAGTACACAACAAAGTCGCGTGAAATATGAAAAGAGCAATCGAATTTGGCCAAAAAATGACAACCGAAATAATTGGCTGACTCCCGTTAGTAAACATAATACATGTAACGTGTGCGAGTGTTGACGAGTGCTTTGTGTGAGCGTTTACGTGTGTGTACGTCACACTACGAATCTTCCAAAGACACAATGTTTTCAATTTTTATATCTTTATACATTACTTATAATATATTGTATACTCCTACTTATAAACTATTATTATTATTATTGTATGGTGATAATTCTATACGTGTTTTATGTAAAAAAAAAATAAAAAAATAAATAACAAATAAAAGTTCAAGTAAGAAGACAAAGTAGCCAACAACCGCCTAACACCAAACCCTGCTGAATTGTATGAAGCAGCAACAACAGTGAATTGTTATTACATTATTTGTTAGTAAAGCTCAAAAAGAACGTCACATAATTTCTACGCCGTATTTACAGTCTGTTTCAACAAAATATACTTATATATTATACATGTACTCGTGTGATTGGAATGGAATGGGAGGTTGTTAAATAAATGGTACAGTGTTAGTGTGTCCATGTGCGTGTGAGTGTGAGAGAAAAAGCCTGCACGACTAAAAGGCCGTGACGAACTTGAATCTCGCCTCCCTCACCCCTCCCACCCCACTTTGATTCAAAGAGCCAAACAATTTGCACGAAACAAAGACAAGGTATGAAATGAAATAATCACGTACCTTTTTTTTCCGTTCGAAATTTATAACATTAAAAACATGATGATAAAAAATACAATATAATAACAATTATGATAAAAATAATAATAATCATGGTGTAAATAATGATAATAATAATAATAATAATAATAATAATAATAAAAGTAGTGATGATGATATAAAATGATATTAAAGTTGTGAAATGTTACGCAGTTGCAAGCCGATAAGCAGATGTCCCGTAACATAAACCGTTTACGTCGAAGAAGAAAAAGAAAGAAAAAAAGAAAAAGTTGCGGAAAAATTACATCACGAAAGAATCTTTGAATAAACTAGAAACTTGTGCCAGGCTTTGCGCAATAGCTGCTTTTATCCGGTCAATGTTGTTCAAACTCGGCCTTCTCAATAGAATAATGTTAGTATACAGTGAAAGAGTGCAACTCGAGCAAATACTCTAGTGGTATTGCAAGAAGAGGAAGAGGGAGGCAGACGACCGGGAAGCAATCGATTCGAGAGAAAGAGAGCCAAAGACAGGGAGATTAAAGTGTACACAGTGTAGAGAGAGAGAGAGAGAGAGAGGAAGAAACGTGAGTGAGTGTGAGAGTGTTATAAGCATACAATATAAAATATCAGCTAGCCCATGTATATAGAGAAGGTAGGTATATTGGATACAGAGAGAGAGAGAGAGAATCGTGTAGGTGGTAAGTGGAGCTGTGTAGTGTGTAGAGAGGTATTTATAATAAGTATTATTGAAGAAATAAGAGCTAGCTCGTACGGCTGGTTTGGTGCGTAAGCGGCGTTTGGATACCTTGTTGGCCACCGGGAGGATGCCTATTGTGGTTGCTAGCTGCCATGACGTGATACTGGTGCGCCGGCGCTGACGCGAGAGAGAGCGAATGGGCGGCCGGCGGCGCCGAGGGGCTCACAACAACGGCGCCGGCACCGAGGCTCACGCTTATCGGAAGATTCGTAGTGGTACAAGCGGTTGAGTTTACTGAGCGCTGGTGTAGCTGTTGTTGTTGTTGTTGTTGTTGTAGGTGGTGGCGATGGTTCAGGTAATGCTGTTGGTGGTGGTGGTGGTTGTTGGAGATACCCACGTTGCTGTTGTTGGCGGCGTTGTGCGCCGAGAGCCCTGAGCTGTCGGTCATCGGGCCCGACGGTATGGACGATGTGTTGTGCGAGCCGTAATTCTTGCCACTGTGGCTTCCTGGGTGGGGGTTCGAGGCGCCCGGCCCACCCGAGCCCGAGCCCGTGCCGGAGCTCGAGCTTCCGTCCTTCGAGCACCTCAAGCACTTGGGCATCCACGAGTTCCGTCGGATGTATTTGCGGTACTCCTTGCGGACCTGCAACAATCACCATCGATCCCCCCCACATTTACGCTTATCCTCGCTATTTCGATGAGTCATCCCTTATATGCTATTTACTTCCTCCTGTTCTCGCGATCCCCCCGATGTTAACTTTTATTTTAAAACGAGTCGATAATTTTTACTTGGATGGCGCTATAAGAACGCCAACTCTGTGAAAACATCAATTGTCCTATATTCCGTCTGCGGAGAAGAGCGATTGTTTGCCAGCCGTGGACAAAGAGTAAATCAAGCATCGACTCGTTTCAAAAAGTTAGATTGGATCAAGTTTTGAAGTAGGGGGGCCTCGGAAGTATCATACTATTACTCAGTACCGTCGACGCGAGATAAGTTTCTCGCCCGATTACCATGAAATATTACCATGGGCATTTCGGTTTGATTAATGAATTTTTTGTCCCCCATCGCAGTTTTAACTAAAAATGCCTTTTTTTCCACGCCCGTATAGTTGAGACGGTACTGTGAGTTTCCGTTTGGCCGATGATGCGATATGGCACGCAGATCGCGTGATGTGAGTTTTTTTTTTTTTTTTTTTTAATTAAACCAAAAAACAAATCCATTTAATAACCATAATTTATGAATTCGAGAAAAATAACATTTGGATGAAAATTAAAAATCGATTACTTTGAGATAGGGAAGAGGGGAGGGTAAAACTTGTTATGTCTCAAGTAATTTTTTTTTCCTCCCTCGTAAATTACGTCGAATTAATGCAAAGTTAAACGAGTGTTTTTTATAGCCGTCAATATTTTTTCTTAGTAGTTTAAGCCTCATGATAAACAATAAATGGAGGAAAAAGACTCGAATCTTACCTTTTCGTTTTGCACGCAGTGGAACACGAAAATAAACAGTCCTTGGAGACTGTTCAACACTGTGAAGATGTACGCCATGGCCAAGGTGTTGCGGTTCATGTACAGCAGGCCAAAGGTCCAGGTCAGACCCAGCAGGAACACTAAGACGATTGCGCCCCTCAACCACACCCTAGCAAATTTCAATTCAACGTTGTCCCACGTCATTAATCGCGCTCGTGATTTTTTTCTTTGTTATTTTTTTTATTTTTTTTTTTTTCAGTTAAACTACTGTAAGTATGTAAATTATTGTGAAAAAAATATTAAAAAAAGAAAAAAGGTGAGGAGTGACTAATGAATGACTAATGTGTCCTAAAGATGATGTGAAAACAAATTTCTACTCATGCTTTTCGGGTAAGATAATGTAATGTACTACGGGTACGGTTACAGCGTACTACATCATTCAAAAGTTTAACGACTGTGAATTAGTTATTTCAAAGTGGCGTCTGAATATTTCATCAAAGCAAACGTTTTAACGTATTACGCGATGTTGCAGAATCACGAAATTAATTATTGAAAAAAGAAACAAAAAAAAAAAAAAAAAAAAACACATGTTTCGAGAACAACCTCTCACGTCAGTCCAATTAGCGTGCACGTAAACTGTACGTATGATAAAATTGGCTCAAACAAACATTTTACCAATTAGGATTGTATGCAGCCACGCATGTGTTTTATGTTTCAAATTGGTGCAAAACTACAAACCAGCGTGTGGATTATGTGCAAAAACCTTCTTTTTTTTTTTTTTTCTCTACGGCAAGAGTATTTTTGATGCAATTAGTAATAATGATGAACAAAGAAGAAAAAAAAAAAAAATGTAATGAAGAGTGAAATGGACGAGAGAGAAAAATTGTGTGAAATTAACGATAAAATTGTAAATATATATCTTACAAGTGCGCTTGCAATTTGTTGGGAAGAGCATTTTCTTCCTTTCCACTACCAACGAACCACGCCATGCAGAAGAAGGTAGAACAGTGTGTAGACAGAGGTGGGTAGTTTTAGTTTTGTTTAGTACAAAAATGAAAACAAGACAGTAATTGTTAGGCGAGTACACCGACACCACTAGTATTATTATTTTTTTTTTTTTTTTTTTTCTACATAATATACATTTTATCATCAACTATACATCTAACGTACGTATTAATATTATTGTTTAACTGAATCTTAGTTCTACTGGTAATAATAACCCGCACCCTTCAACACAGCATCCATTTGCTTTACTGATAAGTAGCAGTACAAAAGATTTATAAATCTTCCAAAAAAGTAAAATAATGGGGACAATGAAATGCCAGCTTAATCGAAACGGGCATGGAACAAAATACCGCGCGAGCGTAATTATTACATCGGTTGTATTGTACATGAAAATAAATCGCACGTAAAAACCCGAATACGTTATGTAATCGAAACTAATAAACATAACGGGAATATCGTGAACGTAATGATTAAATTGCGAGTTTTACATACAAATGGCATTAGTTCGAGACAATGCGATCGATGTGTATTCATTAATTATTCCCATCACGGGAGAGTGGCTTAGCGAACCGACTACAACCTATACAATGTATGTTTATTGCTGTTATTGTAATTATTGTTACTTTGTATGAATTGTTAATTCGAAGTAAGTATTGCATACAAATTTAGTACTCGTTGTTATTTATGTGCAACGATAGTGTATTTATATTTAAGTGCGAAAATGCAAAGTGACGTCGTACAAACCTAATAGACTTTTGAAATAAATGGGATACAGAGCCGATACAAAAAAAAATACGGTGCCAAGATAATAGCGGTACAGTTGGCGAATAATAAATACAAATAATAATAATCACATCGATGCGTGTGAGTATATATTGGGAGATTTGTTTTTTTTTGTTTTTTTGTTTTTTGTTTATCTGCATGAATATAGTGTGTAAGTAACAACAAAAAGCTTGACTAAAAAAGCATCAAAGGAGAAAAAACTATTTCGAAAACTACTTGAGTCGAGTTTCGTCATTAAAATACGTGTGTAGTTATGTATATACGTATATACATGGACGTAGGTACACGTTGTTAAAAGCAACGGAATATCTTGAGTATGACAAATTATAATACACGGATGTAAGCATTATATGAGTGATATATAAATTCTCCGAACGATAAAAGAGGCCGTAAGGCATCGCGGCTCAAGATTCAAGGTCGAAATTGTCTCTGTCGTAACGTTGCTCCGTGGCGCGGCGCGCGCGAGTAGTGTGATTTTTTCACCTATTAATAAACTCTGTCTGACTGACTGACTGACTGACTGTTACACACGGAGAAAGAGAAACTCAAGAAAGGAGCCGTCACTCTTGGGTATCGACAGACAATAAAATGGTAATAATCCATAGGTGTGTACTTTTCACGTCATCGGATGCGTGTATACTAAATACAAAATAAACCAGCTAGACGAAAAAAAAAAAAATGTATATACATATACATATGTATGTGTGTGTGATTGCGCACTCGTGTGTTTGTGTTACAACTTGGTCAAACAAAACGTATGATGAATCGAGGAGGAGGAGGAGGAGGGCTTACCTTGCACTTGCCAGCCGTGAGTGCTCTTTGCTCTTCATCGAGACGGTCGTGTTGGCGTGCCTGCACATCATGTAGATCGCCATGGATAGGAACACCAAGTTTGCCTAAATTGTTTGGATGCGAGTGGGACAGACAAAAAAAACAAAGATTGCACAATTCAGTGTCACGAGCAAAGGCTAATGGTAAATGGAAAAAAAAAAAGAAAAAATATATACGAAACAACCCTAATGATGATCATTTGTAACATCAGCTGGGAATCCAGCAGAGGAAGTATTAAAAGGAAGGTATGGTATAATATAATACGAGAAAGAAGGAAGGAGGGGGGGGGGGTGGTGGAAAAAAGAACGGAGTGAAAAATGTGCCAATGCGAGGTTGAGGAGGAGGAGGAGGAGGAGGAATAAATGAAAGAGGAACGACGGACGTACCAGTAAGACGAGTATGACTGGTCCCACGAAGCTGAATATGAAGTAGTCTTCCGTTTTGAGCCAACAGTAGTGCTCGGTGCCGTAGCCCTGGGGATTAATAACGCAGGAGGCCGCGACCACGAGCAGCGGTAGCCCGTACGCGGACAGATAGTACCAGCGCAGCCGGGACTTTTCTGCCTCGAAGACCTCGATCAGCATGACGTAAATCTGAAAACCTGCGGGCAACGAAAGACGACGAAACGGTGAATAGCCGACAGAGCTGTACGTATATAAATAGAGTCACATTACAATAATACGTGTACGTATAAACACGGGGCAGGCGCTTGCGGTATAATATTCATACTCTGCGTGACTATATATATACACGTTGATATACATAGGGTCAGCGCGCATCAGAGAGGAGTTGGAAAAAAAAAAAAAATGTGCCTTTGAGGGCTTACCTTCGAGGAACATCCAGGCGAAGGCGCATAAAAAGAAAAAGTGCAGGAGACCCGCAACGACGCCGCAGACTATCCTCTGGCTCGTCTGTTCGATCCCGCAGATGAAAAGGACCTCTGCGATGAGCAGGCACACGCACAGATTTTTATGAATCGTCGTCCTGTCGGACTGCAAAAAGCCGTACCAAAAAAGAGAGGCTCGTTTTATACACTTTATCTTTATGAAGCGTTCCCGAATAACGCATCACGGCAGCATTTCTCTTTTTTCCTTCCTTCATCTCCCTAAGTGCATGGGCCGGGAGGGGGGAGGCCGAAGGAAAGAAAAATACGCACGCACGGTACGTGCTTTTAATGCCTGCGTGTGACGCCTTTGTTTCGAGTTGTTATAAAGTATTGTTTATTGAAAAACCAAAGCAAAAAATGGCACCTTCAGTCCTCGGAACAGCTGGAAAGTGATGATAGCGAGTACCAGACAGACGATAGAGACGCTGCAGCCGACGTAGGTGATAATGTGCAGGGCGAGCTTGTTGGCCGGATCCAAGGCGACCCCGTGGACGTCCATGAGGACAGCAAAGTTCGTGAGGTGCTCGCACTCGCACACGCTGTGCGTCCTGTTGCTCTGCTTGAGGTAGCAGCCCGTCTTTGACCAGTCGCTGCAAAATGCGTCAAGTGAATTACGAGCTTAGTCAAATCTCACTCCGACCACCCCCCCCTTTTTTTTTTTTTTTTTTTTTTCATTCCTCTCAAAACCAGTTTCATTATACTGCAACGGGGTGCAAGCCTCTTTCGTGCATTCCGCCCCACCTCTCCTCCATTTTTTCCCTTTTCGATTTTAATTCGCTCTCCTTGGAGCATCTCTCTCTCTCTCTCTCTCTCGGCGCACAAGGGAAGGGGGGAATGATAATGGGGAACGAATAAATTTTACTTCGTTTTGCACCGACGTCTCTCTGTAGTTTCCCTCTGATTGTTTTAATTTACGATGTTTAACGAGTGTGTCGGCGGCACATCGGCCATTAAAACGGGGCCAGTTGAGCGGCGGCGCATTAATTAATTGCATTAGAGCCCCGTAGAAAATGACTTGTGAGGGAGGAGGAGGAGGAGGAGCTAGTTGAACTACAATAAATGATGCCATGTCGTTTATCAATCAATAGCTGTTTGCCTTTTTTTTGGAACCCCAAAGCCAAAGGTTATTCGATTCTACAAAGAATCCGTAGAAACTACGAGCGGGGGCAGGAAGGGCACTCGACGAACCGGGTCGTCATCGTGAATTTTCAATTACAGGAACGAGCAAAGAGGAGCAGCGGCGGCAAATTAATAAGCCGATTGAATAAATGAAAAATAAAAGGGGCGGCATTCAGATTTCCAGCTGGCCCCGTTTCCGCTCCTTTTTAAACTTTAACGCACAGATATGCACGCGATATTTATTATAATACTCGAGACATTAAATTCCAAAAGTGCGAGGGCACATTATGCACGCATTAAAAAAAACGAGCGTCCGCGTCTCTGCGCGCGTGGTGTACGAAAAGAAGAGAGAGAGAGAGAAAAAAAAAAACCAGGTCTCTTCCTCTTGGGTGCAAATTTTTAAAGCACACACACACACGCTCGCACGAAATTCAAAGAGCTCGCAGTACGGGCTGAAAACATCGGGGGGCGAATGAAAGACGCGCCACGCGCGCAATAAAATTAAACGCCCGTTTAAAGATGTTCAATGGCAGTGGGTAGCTCCTCGTGTGGTTGGTGGCTGCCCTCATTAATATGACGTCTAATTAGGGAAACAGCTCCGTTCGCCGGGGTAATTGACAATCGCTCACCCGGTGGAGGCGAGAATCGAGTATACACGAGGCTGATGAATAATGAAACGGTCTCTTGGATGAAAAAGAAAAGAAAAAAAAAAGGGTCGAGGGTTTACGTGGAAAATGAGCGTACCTCTTTGGGATGTCCCAGTAGACGCACGTGGGATTGGTGACGTTGTCGAGCTCGAGGTGCTGGAAGTACAGCCGTACGGGGTGGCCCCTCTTCAGCGAGACGTTCCTCCTTTCGTGGAGGGACACCGACACCACGTGGCTGTTGACGATCCTGCTGCCGTTGGCCGTGGAGTCGTCCACCCTCGGAGGGAGGAACTTGTGCACGCGTTTGCACGTCATGAAGACGATCTTCACCTGGTCTCTCTCGGCCTGACTGTCGATCAGAGCGGCCGTCGGCATTTCCACCTGGACCTGCGACCAATCGTTCCTCAGCTGGTCTTGCCTCGGGAACATCACCGTGTCCTTCTTCAGTTGGCGAGCGTCCCCTACCCACACCTCCATCACTGAAGCACAAGAAACACAGGGACAAGGACAAATGTTATTGTTCCATTTGGTCATTGTATAGCGGTGGACAAGGAAAAAAAAGGGGGGGGGGGAACTGCTAGAGATCGTGGTTCAACTGCAGTTAAGATTACCAACAACTGGATTCACTTTGATGCAATGTTACATGGAGCGGGTAACGAAAATAACTGTATTAAAAAGGTGTGATGCACACTCACGTATATTTGTGACGTCGTAGGTGACGTTCCTCTCGGAGAGAAATCCATTAATCTCGAGGCCCTCGAGCATCTTGACGGCAGACTTTGTTTGGCTCTGGCGGCTCAGGTCCTCCCAAGCATCGGCTCGTTTTTCCTCCAGTAGATTACTACCCGTGGTTACGACGCCCTGAACCAGATCGTAAATCCGATCCTCACGGGACAGGGGCACCTTGGGCATGCGATCGGCCATCAAGCCCATGATGTTGACCGTGAGGATGACGTCGCCCCCGTAGAGATCGTGATCGTGGGTGACCTTGCTCAGCGTCCCGCTCGCCTTGACGACGTCGTCTCCCCTGTTGATGTCGTTGTTGATGCTCGTCAGCCAGACGCTCTTGCACCGGCTGAGGTCCGGCGTTCTCGGGTGCCAGACGGCCGTGTTGGGCCTCTCGGGATCCTCCGCGCACGTCCAGTTGGCCATCCCGTTGGTGCCATCCGGGCACTTTTGTTCCATGGTGGCGCCTAGCCGTGTCGCGCTCCACGACAGCTTTCGCACGTCCCTTCTCTGGCACATGGGATCCCCGGTGTTCCCTGCGCAGAGCACCAACAGTCGGAGTGTCGAGTACATACATCAACGGACGGACACGCGGGAAAAAAAAAAAAAAAAAAAAAAAGAATAAGAGAGAGAGCAAAGTGCATTATACTAAATAACCAGTACGGGGCTCATGCAGCCGCGCCCACGCTCTCTCTCTCTCTCTTTTTCGACGGCTAATGCATTAGCGACGATATTTCCTACATTTTAAATGCACGCGCGCTCGCTCTTATCTAAAAAGCTTTGAGAAATTTTTCTTCCTCGACGCTCGCGCGCGACTTTCAAGCCTTTCCTCTCTCTCTCTCTCTCTCTCCCCGTTCTTCTGACCACCTCTCTCGTCTTCCTCTTTTTTACTTTTGATATAAAGAGAAAAGTTAAGTGCACGGACAAGATCAATTAAAAACTCGTACGGGCAGCCAGCTGCTGCGGGGCTGATAAAAATTCGTTATTTATTACTAATGATCGGCTTACGGGAGACGCACGCACGCGGCCACGTATACCTGCCCGGGTACAATAATTCAAGACGCATGTGCGTGACGTTTTTTTTTTTCTTTTCCTCTTCTTCTTGGCTTTGGTGACACCAAGTTATTTGGGACGCGATGATTTATTTAGAGAAAAACGGAATACATTCGATACCATCTATTGTTCCTCCCTTCCCAAACACACTCGCGCCTCAAGGCGTTACCAAAATAAACCGTACGATTTAGGAGAAAACTATACACGAGGAACGGCCTATAGTAGTTGCAGGACGGACAGGTAAGACGTGTCACTTTGAAAGAAAGTATACATATCCGTAGTAGCTGCAAGACATCATGGCGTACATGTGTAAACAGGTGTAGATAAACAAGTGGTATAATATATAATAGAACGACAAATGTTTGACAAGATACTAATCGCTGGGAGAAAAAGAAGTATAATCCGTCGCTTGAGAGAAAACAGAGTGACTTTGGCGCGAATATCAAAACACGTCCGAAAAAAGAGAGGAGATTCCGGTGGTTTTAACCAAAATTATTTATCACGGCTGGAAGACCCGTTAAAGGGATCATCTCAAAGCCCCAAGAGAGAAAGAGAGAGGTCGAAGAAGGAAAGAAAGAAAGAAAGACCCATAAAAGGGGAGAAATACTCCCGGGCTTTTGGGCTTTAAATTTCTCTCCTCCGCGCTCTTTTTTTTTTTTTTTTTTTTTTTCTCTTTCTTCTCTTTTCTCCCGATTGCTAATAGTTTTCTTACATTTGTTTTCAATTCTGGTGACCGGTGCAACGACAATCATAACAACAACGCGCTACATCTTTCGCAACAAAGGAAAAAAAAGAAATACGTGCACATTAAACTGTGAGATTAAAAGGTAAAAGCAAAAAGGGTGGACGAGAGAGGGAGAAATTTATTGGCGTGTAATAATCCAGCGGCGAGGCGTACAGCTCTTTTTTTCCGCGAAATTATAATTCCATTTGAGCGCGCCTATACGTGGGATGTACGATATTATCACGTGTACCTACAGATGGAAAGAGAAAGTCTACACTAATGTACACGGATGGAGCGATCTTTACCCGCGGACAGCACCTCGCGGTGATGGCGACAAAAAACGACGAAGCTCGGCCCACTGGCTCCCGGTGTGGGAGGTACGGTGTTTTTTGTTGCAACGCTCGACAATCGTGTATACCTACCTATACCTATGATGCCCGTGCTCTTTGAAAACACGAGCGCGAATCGAGCACGTGGAAACTCGTGTTTGTTCCCCTCGATTGAAATGAAATTCGGGCTCGGCAAACTCGGGAGAGCGAAGGTACTTAGCTGCGATGATTAATGCGCCAAGTGTATACACACGAGCGCCGACGTTGCCGAGTATAGGCAGCCCGAGCTCTCACGCGCTTGTATGTAAAGAACCGAGTCGGGCAAACGAGGAAAAAAAAAAAAAAAAAAAAATATCGCAACTCGGAAATACCTTTGGAATTTCAAACCGTAACAACGCGGCCCGAGAAGTTTTTACTCGCTCCGGTGTATAATGAGAGATTACGAGCGAGCTTGAGCTCATAATGTCGACTCGGCGAATGGCCGATCGATTGTTTTGGTTGACGTATATATGTATAGGTAAAATGTAAATTGAAACAGATTATACTTGGGTATAATATATAGATTGATGAAGGTGGTGGGTCTTACCTGGCACGGGAGTCGGCTCCTCGGGTTCCGCAGCCGGGTAGTCCGTCGTGGTGGAGAGCCGGTAAGGCGGAGCCCGCGAACTTTGGTACCCCGTTGACGTCGGGATGCTGCGAACAAATAAATATACCGTGTGTACTCTCTCTCCGTCTCTGTCCTATAGGATACACATTCCCTCTCCGATGCTGCATCAGCGAGGCAGTCTCTCTCTCTCTTTTTTCTCTTTCTTTCGCTCCGACCGAGCGCCTGCACGGCACGTATACACCGCATACACACACATATATGTATATATATACCCACTGCATGGCATTCCTTTACGAGAGCGTATATACGTTCTCTCTTATGGGATTTCTTCAATCTTTTGTTATGCGCTCTGCTCCTATACGTGTGTATATGGGCACGAGAGAGCAGAGTAAATGGGGGGGAGGGCGACGATTGCGTGGGGAGTAACTGTCTTTGTGAAAGTAGCAATTATTTAGCCGAGAATTCAGATTTTGTATTCAATCTACGTTGCGAGTGTGTGTGTGTGTGTGTGTGTGTGTGCACGCGCGGCCACACTCTGGTACCCCTTGCCGTGCAAGGCTCCGTTCGTGCGATTGGAAATTCAAAAGCTACGGAATTCCTGGGTTGGCAGCGCCGAGTTGACTTCAATTTCCCGACGCGATGAATAGAACTCATTTCTACGATTCTTTTATCTATTGTCTCCTCCTCCTCCTCCACCCGACTCTTCCTGGTCGAGAGATTATAATATAAGTGATGGGGGCCGAGGAGTTTATTAAATATGACGTACATTATCGGGCGCGAATGTTTTTTCATGCACGCGGATTATTTGATCGCCCGACCGCGTATACCTATACCACGAGGGGGGGGGGAAGGAAAATTCAATACGAGCAAGGGTTTTTCGGGATTACACGTGCTGGTAGGTGTGTGAAATTAAAAAAAAAAAAAAAAAAGGCCCGAGCGCGCGTTCGCGCAGAAAAAGTTAACCAGTTTGAGGTTCCGCGAAGAAAAGGACGGGTAACGAGGAGGAGGTGCCGGCGCGCTTGGTTTGTCCAACAAACTAAGCGCAGCGTGGATTCTTCCTCGCGATGCAACCGACGCTTTTCAACGCAACTTGGACACAAAAATTCCTTTTTTTTTTTTCTTTACGAGCTCTTTAATATTACTATACGTGTGCGCTTAAAAAATTAATGCTCGTCCCAACATGTACGTATATGAAAAAAAAAAAAAAAATCATCCGCTCTCTTTTTCTCTCTGTTCTGAGCTTGCTAGTCGAGACTGTGGACTTTGTATACACACGTACCGTATTCCACGCAACATTATGTACGCGGGAGGACTCGTTTAAGCCCCTTATGAATGAAAATTTGGAACAAAGCAACAGGACACAATTTGTATCGTACCTACTGCCACTCTCTCCTCGTGTAGGTATATATATACATACCGAGACGTACACGTAGGAGAGTGAAATGGATTTTTACATATTGGATTGTTATTAATGAGCGGATATAAAAATATGTTAGCTCTCTCTCTCTCTCCGAAGGGAGATGAAGAAGCGATAGTTGTGACAGATGTGAAACGGGAATGTACATGGGATATATATATTATGTACTCGTGGGGTCCTCTCCTACGATATCGTCAATTTGAAAAATACATTTCCACGTGTTATTAATACACACACATACAGATAGATGGCAACGATAATATTAATGCCGGATGGCCGTGTGGGTAAAAAAAGTGTCAGTCCGGCGAAGCCCGCAGAGAGAGAGAGAGAGGACAAAATGATGCCGTAGCATTGAAACGGTGCCTATAGGGGGCACGGTGTACAGTGTCAATACACGGATCTTCTTTGAATGCTCCTTTGCAATAAGGAGTAAAGTGTGTATATATATATTATACACACACACACACGTATAAGTAAGTAAGTAAGGCGTATATAGTTGTTGCGGGTATATATACCTACACGCGCGGTATGGATGATGATGAGAAGGAGAAGAGGAATCGAGGACAAGTCATATTTTATAGTTACGCCGGGGTAATTTACGCTACTCGCAGGAGGAAGGGAGGGAGTGATGGTAGAGTAAGAGCGAGCGAGCGTGGCATTAAATAAAGTTTATCCTTTGCATGTACCGAGAGAGAAGGAGGGGGGGGGGGGGGGGGGNAGTCGCTGTGTGAATTTTTTTTTTTCTTCTTTTCCTTCCATCGCAGCAAAACTTCTTGTGACACACTTTTTTTTTTTTTTCTTTTTTTTTTCCTTGTTCCCTCCGTGGAAATGTAAAAGGAAAACGTTGGGTTGCCATATTGCAGCAGCGAGAGCTTACGGGCCTGCAATGCACCCATAAGCAACAGCTGCAGGAGCAAAGGATTGTATTGGTATACATATACATATATATATATATTTAAGAGGAGAGGATCGAGCGGATTTTGCCTCTGAATGCTCTCTCTCTCTCTCTCTCTCCTCTTCCTCGTTCTCTGCTCGGTATGCTCGGTAGGTATATGGTATATATTATACTGCACCTACGTGTAGGTACTCCATAGACGAGTGCGTGAGAGGAGAACGGGCTCTCGAGAAAGGAATCGCTCTCGCCCGTGAAGGTAGTAGTATATAAGAGTGTACAGGCACCAGGAGGTGCTACGCGCGGTGTGCATGCATGCAAGCCAAGGAGAGAGTCAAAGACGACAAGACATGGGGTAAGCGGTACTGCGGTACTGACCTTGGCGTGTTGTTGGTGCTGCTGGTGCCGATCTCGTGGGGAACGGCGGTGGACGACGGCTCGACTCCCGGCAGCCGCGGTATCGTCGACGACGCCGGCGAATACGAGGACGACGGGGCACCTTCCGTCGTGGATTCGGCTCGGGGTGTTGCCAACGTCCCCTGTCGCGAGGGCGAACGATTCAACGGGGGCGGCTTACTCGGCGACGCTGTGCTCTGGACGGGCGGCGGACTCGGTCGCGTCGACGTAGTCGTTGTGGACGCTGCAACTGACAAACATTCACATTATCACACATTATAAATATTATACTCACATCGTCATAATTCAATGCTTATAGCTATACATATAATATGTACATGGCGATCGATCCGCATCCTATGTATGCACTCGTGTCTTGATCATTGATCATCCATTTTTGGTCCTATACGTGTAATATCATATGCATGGGGTAAGATACCTGTTACCTTATATACACGTTTGCGTTGTGCATTGTATTGTACATAATATATATATATATATATATATATAGGGTTTCTCTTCTCCGTGTCCTTTATTCCGCGGTTCGGTAAGTACAGTCGGCGGTATATTATATGTACACGTATATATGTATATATAAACTCTGCGTCCCTCGCTCGCTCTCTCAGCTTAACTTAGCCTTTTAAATGGACGACTGTGTACGACGACGGCCCTGTATATATTATAAGGTTGCGTCAGTGCTCCCGCTCTCTTGTACCTATATACATGTACCCCCCTACTCTCTCTCTCTCTCTCTCGGACGGTTGGCTTTGATTGTCCAGATATTTCCCCGATCGGCACTGCTCGGCTGCCTGGCATTTTAACGATTCGATCTTACTCCACCGTCCCCGTCGTCCTTCTCTCCCCCGTTACCCCCTCTCGCTTGCTCCTTTTTTTTCCTCCCCCCTCCCCCTTTCAATTTTTTACACCCAAAGGACACTCGAGGTTTGCGCTCGTTCCATCCATCCCTTGGTGAAAAATATTACATAACCACGTACACGTAAAGACGCACTATAAGGGGGATGGGCACGTACTACGCGCGACATGTGCAAGTATATACATATATGTATATGCACCCAATCGTACACACATCGCATTTCTTTGTTTAAATATATCTGATCGTGTGAGCGAGAGTCAATAAAATTACAAGGATAAAATTATGCGCAAGTACAGGTATTATTTACATTAGTCATAATCGTTAAGTGCGCCCTCGTACTGTGTGTATTACGTATTATATTATATGTATAGCACCACCAATATCATCGAGGAACATTGTGTGTGTGTGTGTGTGTGTGTGTGCCGAGCCTACAACATCACGTATGCTTAGGTATATACGTGTACAACCTGCGAGTATACATATATGTATATGTATGTATTAAGTATTATGTACCAGCGGCGGCGACTTACATAAGAATATGAGTAGGATACCTATAGGTATACTTACGTGTGTGCTTATCCAAACCTATTCGGCGCAGACTTTAGAGACAAGAAGAAAATACACTTATAACGAAGAAACAAAACACGGGGGGAAACGAGCGAAGCCCGAGTAAGTATAAGTAGGTGTGTATAATGGCTACACATATATATTATATACACCTAGCGGTAAAACAAAGCTGCCGCTAAAGCGCGATGCATGTTAAACTTGCGCAATATACTTATCCAACCCCTTGGGATATAGTTATATGTGTGGGGTGGGGGGTGGGGGGGGCGCGCGAACCTTCATTTGGAATGCATTTGAATTTTCGCGTGGCTCGTCGATAGTTTTATACATCGCGCAAAGAAGAAGAAGAAGAAAAAAAAAAAGCTCCTCCCGGGGAGGCCGTGCCCTCCTTCGTTGCGGTGGGTTGTGTGTGGCATGTCCGATGTTCGGCTCGGCTCCGACAAATTAAACGCGCATACCTTGCACACACATACGTGCTACGCGGAACATTGTCGGCTCGGGCAGTACATAGCCACGGAACAAGAGCGAGAGAGATATCCGGCGCTCTCTCGCGTAAGGAACACAATATTTACTTCCCTACAATGTATACACACATATAAAACATATAGGTACATCACGTAAGTATAGGTATATAGGCACATAATTATATGATATTTATAAACGCGGTGGCGGTGAGGGAGAGAGTTGTCTTCATTTTCAAAATAACGCGTTCCGTCCTTTCTTTCCTAAGGATATAATATACATATATTTATGTATACGTAATAATAACGATAATAATATGTAGCGCGGGCGCACCACAGAGGAGAACGAAAGAGAGGAAGATTCAGATTTAAATCCCGCATACACGTATATATACTATATATAAATATATATATATATANGAGGGGGGGCCCTTTCGAAGGGAGAAAAGGCTCCACATGCCATGGGCGATCGAAATAATTTACTCGAGAGATCTTGCGAGAGCTTACTTTGGCAATTATGACATGCGTACGTATATATATATATATATATATATATATATAAACAACAAAGCTATCGGTGCGGTGCGGTAAGTATAAGTATATAGTTGTAGAGAGAGAGAGGGGGGGGGGTGGAGATGCGGCCCACTATCGTGCATTTCATATCGTGACCAAAGGCAATGTGTGTGCATGTATATAATAGTCATAGGTGTATATATGTATGTGTATGTATATGGTACGTGGGAGTGTGCATATGTATATACGTATACATGTACGGTCTTTTCTCTCTCTTTCTCCGCGAGTTGGTTGGTTGGGAGAGATGCAGGCGATGTCGTGGTTAATCCGAGAATGGAGGTGCGCACGTATTTCGCGGAGGCTATCTCTCCTTACCGACCATCTTTATTGGCCGAAGGCTTCTCCGATAAGCTAAAATACCGGACGTTGCGATGTCCGTTACCGATAGCCCCCTTCTTCTTCCATGCGCTCTCTTGCTTGGCTGCTGCTATATAAGTATACGCTGCCGTGCTCTTTCTCTTCTTCTGCACCACCGTGCATCCATCCACCACCGACCGAGGAGGAACCTTCCTCCCAGCGCTTCTTCATCTGCTGCTGCCTGCTCGGCTGGTTTCTCTCCCTCCTCTTTCTCCGTTGCACACACACACACGGCGCGCCGCGAGCATATTACTTTTCCCGGTCCCGGGGCCCGGCTATGCTCCACACACACACACACACACATGTGCGGGGACCTGCATGCTATGCGCTCGCTCTTTACTTTGCTGCATGCGTGCATTCGTAATACATAATGAAGGTGCTATGCCCCGGCCGCGTGAAATAACTCTCTTCTCTCTCGTTTCTTCCTTCCCTTCCCTTCCCTCCGCCACCTCATCCTACACCGTCCCTATATTATATGCTTTTGTTGCGTTGCACGAGTCCCTGCAGTATAATATTATAAAGTCGCTGCTTGGCATATACTTATTATAACACGTCCTTCTTCTCCTTTTCCTCGTCATTTTTCTTTTTTTTTCCTTTCCTTTCCTCCTTTTTCCGTTGTAGGTATGTTTCGACAAGTGCACAAGTGTGAACGACATCGAACGCCAGCTGCTCTTCCCTCGGCATCGCGCAGCCCTCGCTTTGTCGCTCGTGATGCATTGTACATTGTAAGTAAGTACCATATACGTACTTATGGCGATCTATCGAATCGCTCGATTTTCAAAAAGTTCGGCGTCCAAGCGCCAAGGGGGTACAACAGACAGAGGTGATCCGAGCTGTGTATATGAGCGCCTCGAACAAAAGTTTGTAGGTGTATAGTGTTCCGTCGATAGAACAAGTGGGTATGTATACATATATATCCTGCCTGCACTGCAGAGGGCTCTTTCTCTCGAGGGAGTCGCGCCTGCGTCGTCGTGGAGGCACTCGAGTCCGCACTTCTCTTCTCGAGCGGCTTCTGCTTCTTCGTCTTCGTCTCATCTCCGCGCTCTGCTCTCTCCCCCCCCCCCCTTGATGCTGCATCAGTCGATATCGCCTCTTTGTATACCCATATGCATCCACCCATACAGCCTATATGCATATATACTTACCTGTGCATGTATTTGCGCGATCGAAGCCCCCACCCCTTCTCTCTCTCTCTCTCTCTCTGTGGCGCTTAATAGCATGACATACTCCGAGAGAGGGGGGTGGGCCTGACGAGGCCCCATACAATCTCCCTGCTGCGGCTTATATACCACTTCAACTCTACTGCTAATACCGGTATATACATATATACATATATGTATAGGCGTATATAACGAGAGATCGATATCGCGCGCGTCTAATGAAATCCTTATCCCGATGGCCACGTTTCCGCAAGACGATGAAGAGCAGCCCCGCTTCTGATGGACGGACGTGCCATGTCTCTCTCCCTCTCTCATCCTCTTGGATGCTCTTTTATTTCCTTTTTCTTATCGCGGATCTGCCGATCGCCTCCCGAACGATAATACGTAAGCCGGTCGCTATTCTCATTATCATTATTATTGTTATTGTAATTATATAAGAGATGACCCTTTACTCACCGGGTAGGCACTGATAGTGCGCCTCGAGGTACTTTTGGGTGTTGGAGCACGGCTCCCCGAATATTTTGGTCGACGCCTCGACGCTGCAGTTCTGCTGATTATTGCACCTGTAAATCGAAAGAAACATAAATCACACACTCCGATCGGAAGAAATAAAAGTAGAGCATACATGTATATATGTATACAGTGTATATTTATGTGTATATGTATAAAAATGCAACAGCTCTGCCGTACAGGGCCATATTTATATTGCATGCAGAAAATTCACGCATCGCTCCATCAGAATTCGCTCTCTCGTGCACGAGCGCGTTTCCACTCTCTTTTTTGTTTCTCTCTTTCTGCGGGCATTTATCTTTCGGTGCCCCCCCCCCTTTTTTTTTATTTTTATTTTTATTTTTTTTCAATTTTATTTTATTTTATTTTTTGCACGTACGCGTGTATAATATACACATAACGTATACATCGGCACGAAAGGCCAAAGCGAGAAACAGCAATAATTTCGCAAAATTATCGGCGAGGGCACGTACATACATATACCTGTATACACGCGTGGTGTCGAGTGATCTCATCTCTTCTCTTTCTCCCCCGTGCGAGCACATGCCACACACCAAAGCGATGGCTGCAGTATACCTACGACCTGCACGTAGTATACGGGGTATGGATGTACCGAGCGAAGGGAAGAAAGAAAGAAAGCTTTTACACGAGCACGAATATGCCAAATGGGATTGACACTTTAGTGTATTAGCGGTGCAGGGTAAGGAGCTTTAGAAAGAAGAGCCGACTCGAGGAAGGGGGAGAAAAAAAAAAACGGCACGTAAAACGTTCACTTGGAACGAACGAGAGATAGAGAGAGAGAGAGAGAGAAGCAAAAGACACACTTGTTACAATCGGCAGAGAGAAAGAGAGAGCTATCACGTAGTTACGGAAAAAAATGCAACAAATGAAGGCCCACTCGAAAAAGAGGGAAGGAGAGAGGCTTTCTAGTGGGGTAGACGATATATACGCGAGTCTTTTCCTCCCTTTTTTCTCATTTCCTCTCCGTTGTTGTTTCTGCTGTTCTTCCCTGCGCACTACACCCCCCCCCCCTCTCCTCCTTCTCTCCCGTGTATACCTACTCATCCGCTGCCACTTTCAGCGTTAAACTCCGCGAAACACGCAGACGTGTCGGCTTTTTTTAAATTTTCTCTACCTGCATCGCAACAACCACTCTGCTACTCCTTCTTCTGTTAACACGATTTTCAAAGTGCCATACGTGCGGAATTATACATATTTATATGTACCATCTTTTGATGCATGTTATGTATCTGCTGCGCTGCTGTTCATAAACGGAGCCTCCGAGAGTGTGCACACACGCCGTGTGTACATATAAGTATACCATAACACAGGTACGCACAATAGTGTGGCGTAGTACAAAGGTGTTAGCAATCGCTTGGAACTGAGGTAAAGTATGTACGTATGCTATGCGCGTTCGATCGATCGGGTATGGAGAAGCGCGGAAGGGGGCACGAAAGAAGAAAAAATTACGAGCGTCTTTAGCGATTTGACATTTACGTACACGTGGCAATAAACGGTGGGCCTATTCATTCCTGAAATAAACGTCGCTCGGCTGCTACAATACAATTATTATTACAGCAATCCGTCAGTTGTAATCTATAGGTATCCCAATGCACAATGGCCGGGCGTTTTGTTTCTCACGCGCGGTGTTTCGTCACCCTACATAATGTATATTGGGAATTTTGCAAACCACAAGCAAATCTTGTTTTTTTTTGTTTTTTTTTTTCTACTTTTTGCAGAAATTTGTTTTCGGAAAACGCGTGCGTTCTACATGGGTGTGTATGCAGGTGGTGGGTGGTGAAAAATCGGGTATTTCCCGTATGTGTTTGCCAGGCTCTTTCTGGCGGTGGAGAAAAGCGAGAAAAGAGAGGGGCAGCGTATAGCGATACGTTTATTTATCGAAACGTCAAATCAAGCTGTTTTCCGCGGAAAGCCAATATCCATTGCTAATGAACGGAAAGCACCGCGCTGGTGTCTATATGTGTAAGTATATACCTACGAGCCACTGCTGCCCCGGCGTTTGTGTGTATTTTTTCGTTTGTGCCGGACGTGAAAAATAGCGCTCCGATTTTAGTAGCGGGCATGGGTATTATTTTTTCCCCCTTTCTTCCTTCTTTCGTGAAAGATAGTCTAAACGATTCGATGGACCATACGTGTGTAAATATTTACTTGTTGGCGGGCGGGTGTGATGAATGCTCGAAGCGTAAATTCTTAAAAAGAGTCCAGTTGTCGCTCGTTTAGTGCCAACGAGGTTTCAAGACTTGAATAAATAACTTTTTCTTTTTTTTTTTTTTTTTTACGAGTAGTATACTTTTAGTCCGAAACCACCAAGCTTTGCTCGGTTTTTATTTTATTACGTCCCGATCTTGGGGTTAAAAGTTTCGATGGACTTTGAAAATAAACCGGGGAACAATAAGGAAATTCAGTTAGGTAGGACAAGTATGTTTATCTACGCCAGGAAGTATGGTATGAAAAACTTTAACTGTTTTGCTCTGCATGAAAAAAAAAATTTGATAATCTGGTGCAATTTATTGCAGTATGAATTAAAAAATAAATTCTATTTTTTATTTACTTAACTATTATGGATAAAAAAAAAAAAAAAAAAAAAAAGCCGTGTAACTCGGTGTACAACAAGAGTTATGCTTTTAAAGACATTTATACCAATAACTGCATGGAAATCCATGCAAATCCATGCAACGCGTGTAGATGTATGAAAATGAATTTAACAGGTATCGATTATTCATAAGTCTCGAAACTCCGATACCCCGCTTTTTTCCCCCAAAGTTTACCCAAACTGATGAGTATCTCTTGTACCTGTTAAATTCATTTTTATACATTTGGGAATTTTTTTTTTCCCCTATCACTCATAAAAAAAAGAAGAAAAAAAATTTGATGATAACCATACATCTATCGATTCATCAAATTGACAAATGTTAAAAATAAGAGTATTTAATCCATTCACTCGAGTCGTATGTAAAAAGATTGCTCACTTGAATGTCGTTACCTGTGGGCAGGGGGGGGGGGGTATTAAAATAAAAAAGAAATAACTTTTAAAAAGTTATCCCTCCTCGACGACAAAACACACGCGCGCGCGCGAGCTTAAACGTAATTTAAATGTGAGAAATATTTTTTAGCGCGTCTAACCCAAAACGTAAAATTTACAAGTGTCGTAATTTATGGTATTTTTCATATTCCTCGCGCGCGCACACACAACACACGCGTACCCCCCCTCCTCCCTCCTCCCCTCAGTACGTAAATCGGCTTAGCGGATTCGCAAAGAAAATATCGCCTCGCTAATTTTTTATTGTTTCACACAGGCTCGAAGATTTACATTTGCACGTCCGTGCAGCAGCAGTTTCGAGGAAAACTCGTAAAAACACGTACACGCGTATTATAAATGTGTACGTGGTGGTGGTAGTGGTTGATGCTGCACGAAAGAAATATTCCATGCATGATGGTCGCGCGAGCGCGGCACATTTTTTATTTGGCTTTGAAATTTTCGTCTTTCATAATATTTTTTGTTGTTTTTTTTTTACCTCCTTGGCTCACACATACATTTTTCATCACTCGCGGCTTCGAACGAAATTTTCGTACATGCCAGAAAAAAGAAAATTCCCAGCCGATTTGGATCGTTTGGTTGTGGAATAAATAAACAAAACGGAGGAACATTTTTTTTTTATTTTAATCGCAGTCGGTGGGTATGCACTTGTAAAAAATTAAGCTTAACTCAAAAATGCCTTGCCCTACTCGTCGAAGGGATTGTTGTCTTAAAGGCCGTAGGGGAGTTGGGGAGGCAAGAGACGTGACTTTTATACATTCGTTAATTTATCTCTCGGTCGTAAGAGCAGCTTTGCGTTTTTTAGCCCACCTGTACGGAGCACATGCAGAGCCTCTCTCCCTGCCCAGTTTATTTTATACGAAAGTTAACGTATGCCTGCGCATACGTGGTTTCGAGCGGAAAGACGGCATTTTTCGTACTCGTCGTAAAGCACTCCGTAGACGCGACCGCGCCTGCAATTTCCACGCGTATATGAGTTGTTCCCGCAAGACCAAAGTTACATTTTATTGATATATATATGTACCACCGAAAAAATTCAAGGCTATATTCTCAAGTTTCAAATAAATGCGCGATGATTATGGACCGAGTAACAATTATCATTCGATTCGACACAGCCCTTTATGTTATTACAAGACAGATTATATTCATACGCTGACGCACGAGCTTTTTCAGATAACGTTGAAAAAAACAAAACAAAAAAAAAACTGTAAGCTACTGTGCACCGCAAGAGAAGGTAAGCGATCGGAAAACTAGTTTACGTACGCCCCACCACCCCAAGAATTATTTACAAACAACAATGGGTTAAGGTGGCACTTGCGTTTCATGAATCATCGTTTGAAAAGCTTGGCCAGCGGACGCTGCGAATTAAAGCGGTACGTGGCAGCAGCAACTCGGCCGCATGAAAATAAGATTCGGACGATTCAATTACCGACAAATGGATTATTAAATCGTGGGTCCGATTCGGTTTGGAGCTGCACCAACGCGGACACATATTATGTATGCTTACACCCCACGAAGCGCGCATCCGACTAATTATGATTCCAGAGAAAGGGCTTCTTCTTCTTCTCCTCCTATGGCTCAGTGAGAGCTTAATTAAATACAAGACGAATCAACAGAGCCGAGCTTTCGTGTTTTATCGCGAAATTGAGACGCTGCTCCTCCTCGACGCGATTTTTCAACTTGAATTCCAAAGTCGTGCGCGCCCCGGGAATTTTAATGCGCTGCTTCCACGAGGATACTCGTGTACGCGTACTCTTTTTTCTCCCTGCGCAAAAAAAAAAAAAAAAAAAAAAAAAAATGAGGGAATAAGTATATACACTTGATCGTTATTTCTCGCGCCTAGAGCATGGCGACGGGTATGATGATTTTTCCTCCCAATATATTACACGTATGCGGACCCTCGCGAGCTTTCCGCGAAGCGCTCAGTTATTATATAGACACCGCGAAAGATAATAAGAGCAGAAGGAGTAACAAGACACATACACGAAGCGCGTCTGGTGCTTTTAATCAAAAGTTCTTTTTCAATTTTCGGTTATTCTCGCTGCGCAACGCATACACACAAATCTCCAATCCGCCCCTCCCGTACAGTGGTCTGGAAGTGCGAACGTCGGTGTTTTGTCTGTTGTACGTACACACCGCTCCTCCCAATATACCCACTTCTCATTAAAAAAAAAAAAAAAAGGAGNAAAAAAAAAAAAAAAAAAAAAAAAAAAAAAAAAAAAAAAAAAAAAAAAAAAAAAAACTGGGAGGCACCTCTACATGCATATAGCTACCAAAATAAGAGGAAGAGAGTCAAGTCTCGCCTAATTAAAATAGAGCTCGCGCGTGTATACACACACGAGGGCAGACGAGGGCCTGGTTGCTTGCGGTTCGAAGGGCGAGAGGTAGTGTCAGCGAGGAGAGGACGAGCCACGCAAATATATATGTATACTCGCGAGCTTGCAAGCTCGAAACCGGCGCTGGAGAGGCTACACATTTTTTTACGCGCCGATGCAGGCGGCTGATTAATCCCCGGACCCGCTGGCAGCCGGCCATTAATTTGAGTAAGCCCCTGGAAATCTGGCAGCCCGAGGCCCGGAAGATGACGACGATCAAACAGCAGCTATATTAGGTGTATACCCACCCTTGTACCTACTTGTGTCGCGTGTGCATCATCGACGAAAATGCTCGAGCTCGATTTTGCAGCTGTGGGTGCGCGGGTCCATGAAATCTCATTAATGCACCGGCCCGGCCTATTACACCGGCCAGTCTCCCTCCCTCCCGCTCTCCATTATATAAACTGGGTTAGCCTTTTCCAGCTAAATGTAAAGAGCCCCCGTTGCAGCTTAATTATTCCATCGGCGCGGAGGGCCGGCCAGTGTGCGTTACCCCCCCCCCCCGTGGGATTTTCATCTCTCGTTTGACGAGTTGTCGGGAGGAAGCCCGTCCACCCTTTTCCATTCTGCTCAAAAATAGCTTTGTGCGAGCATTCAATCGGCCCGGCACCACCTACCCTCCTCCTCTATACACCTATAGGTTTTATATGAAATATATACATATATGCGCGGCGGTGGAGCGAAACGAGCATGCGCGAATCGATCCCTGCGGCGACCTGCGCGCACCCCATCCTCGCCCCTGTTGGGAGCACCACCTTCCACCACCATCCGCTTATACCTATGTATACTAGTAGAAAAAAAAAAAAAAAAAAAAAAAAGCTCGGGAAAAGGATATAATAGTCCGGGCCAGCAGCGCCGAGCTTGCTCCCCTTGGGCTCTGTCGGGCGCGCGCGCCGAAGGAAAAATTATTAATAGCTGAATGTAGATGTGTGTACCAGCCCGATTTTATGTGTATCTGTCGCCCCGTTCGGTCAGGGGGGAGGGGGGACAGACGGCGACAACGAAAATGACGCTCGAGGGCTCGATGAGAGTTTCGATGCCTCGCCGGAGTTGTAAGTGCAAAAACAGGAGAGGGGGGGCCCTTTCGAAGGGAGAAAAGGCTCCACATGCCATGGGCGATCGAAATAATTTACTCGAGAGATCTTGCGAGAGCTTACTTTGGCAATTATGACATGCGTACGTATATATATATATATATATATATAGGTATACAAATTTCCACCACCCTCAAAAGTTAATTTACCGCGAGGGATGTGTGTGCACTTTCGATCGGCGTGATTGATTGGACATTTTTCACCGACGAAGAAGAAGAAGAAACGGAATAAGAAAAAGAGAGCAGGACAGCGTCCGCGGCGCGGAAATGGAAAATTGGAAATTTTATTAGCGGGAAACTTTGCGCCCCGAGCTTGGCCGGGCTGATGTAGTTAAAAGGACGTGTATAGGCATATAATATATATACACCGGAGGCTGTCACTTGTGCGCGATATTGTTATTTCATCGACCGGCGAGGGAATAGAGCTTGGAGAAAAATCGGAAGCGCCGCGGAACGGGGCGAAGAGGAGGAGTCAATACCGGTGACGTGTATATTGGAAGGAAGAACAAAAAAAGTGGGCCACCGAAAAAGCGCGGGTTTGGCGATGACGAGTGAATAACGAAGAGGGTTATATCGGGATGTGGTGGGGGGGGGAGGGGGAAAGGAAATCACGGGGACGTAACGCCTGTGTATAATATTATATACACATTGCCGACGGCTGCCAGCGAGCATCTGTCAAAGAGGAACGAGTAAACAGATGGCCGCGACATTGTTGCTTCGTCGCGCTCATTACACGGACCGAGGGGGCAATATAGTACACGTACATATACATATATACACGGCGCGTGTAATTTGCGGGGCAAGAATAAGCAAGACGACAACACTACTTATTGTGTGTAGAGTATATACGTATTACGCATACGGACAGCTTGGACTACAAAAGCGGGCTTTCGGCGCCTAGCTCCTCTCTCTCTCTCTCTCTCTCTTACATTAGTCTCTGCTGCGGAGAGAGTGAGACTGCGCTATTTGAGCGCATACCACCGCGGGCCCGAGAACTCCACTCCTGCATTCCTGATCAAACAGATATAGGGTAGGTATACCAATGTTGTACTTGACTGTACTTATATATATGTATATACCTATTCCGCCACCGCACGCACCTACCTCTCTCTCTCTCTTCAATGTATGTATGTATACGTACACTCGGATGCGCGCTTTACTCTATACTCTCCATCATATTATAAATACATACGCATACTCATATAGTGGGCATTAACGCGGTATAGGTATGTATATAAGTAAATGGCAGCAATAACAACCATTTCCCCAATATACCCTTTAAATTTGTGTATACAACGTAACGGCGTGTCACGGGCATAGCGATAATTTATTTTATTCGGTCTCCTGTACTTTGTATAAACGTTGTATATATAATGCGTCCGAGACAATAATATCGGTGTGCATGTGAGATAGGGGCACGATCCTCCGCATCAGCGACGAGAGACAATGCGGAGAAAGGCCGAGATTTTTAAAAGGGGGGTAAGTCGATTCGCGCCTTGATTTTCAGCCAACTCGCACGCAAATTGTACACCGCCACCGACTCCGTGATATTTATTATGCCAGATGCACTCGGAGGCCTCCTCCATACATGCATTGTGTGCATGCGCCGGAGTTGTTGCCAGCAAAGACACGACTCCGGCGTATTGTGTAATAATTGCCTTTCTATGTTTAGGCTCCGGCGAATTAGACTCCAGTTGGGAAAATGTACACGTGAAAACCATTTTTTGTTTCGCGCGCGAGTGTTGTTATGACGTTATGGTACACGCGGCAACAGCAGCACTCCGGGATCAAACACATTTGAATACGTATAAAATTAATCATTTGCACCGAGAATTCCGTTGCAAAAGGCGGTACATATATACATATGTACATACCGTGTGTGCGCGCGAGCTTTTACTTGCTTTGAGAAAGAGATAGAGACTGTACGGTGCGATGATGGTATCTTTCTCTGAGCGTTTCTAATCTACCGGCGGTGGAGGTTGTACCGCGCGGGCGTGTGCGCGCGTATAGGTACACCGAGGGGCAATTGAAGGGTTATTTATCCCGAGATAACGAGGAAAAACAATGAGCATTTGAAATTTATTTAGTCCGCGATTTTCTATAACTCAAGCCCCCGAGGGGGGAGGGGGAAAAAAAACAACACAAGGCTATCTCTCCGCGAGGGAGTGAATTTCAAGCTCTTCGAGAAGAGAAAGAGAGATAAGGAGCGAGATAATCGGAGTGGGTGTCTTTGGTACGAGAAAACTTGCAATTTTCAATTTAAAATAAAATTTATATACTTAAAATGTAATGACTTCACGAGAAAAGAATGACATTGTTCCGCGTACGAATCGTCACAAATGAGTAAATTGTACATTGCCGAAATTCCGAAAATTTATATATGTCTGCATCAATATTGTATTTAACCTATTATCGCTGCACGTCGTTTCGAAACAAAATAACAATCATAATTCTAGTTTTTTTGATGCTGTTAACCAAAGCACTGTTTAATTAACGTTTCTTTGAAAAAGACACTCAACCGTGAAATGGTTTTTTTTTTTTTATCTCAACTTGTCCTTGTTATCGAGGATATAACACAATATTGTACACCCACATTTTGTCACACTTATTGTGTGGGAGAAAGAAATACTTGTTTTTTTTTTTTATTGTGTCGAGTACAGTTGTTACGCCAGTCATATCGCCTCAAATTTCGTACGAGCGTCAACACGAATCGTTACATTACACGCGGCCTCCTCGGGTTCAACCGAGAGAGGCGATGAAACCAGATGCACGGCCCGACTAATCGTGCCACGGGCGTCTTCTTGTGTTTCCCTCAAGAATTTGTCGTGGCGTCACACACAAGGCATAAGCAGATGCCAAGGTCAGCTATGAAGAAACAGCTGAGCAAAGGATGCATCCTTTGGGTATTAATACCTATACACGAAGGTATGTATACATACGGGTGGAGTACGGGGTATACCAGAGATGGGAGCGGAGGGGAAAAAAAAAAAAAAAAAGAGAGACGATGGAGGAGGAGGAGGAGGAGACACTCGCAAGAGCGGAAGGCAGAGGCGAAGGGGCTGGGAGAAAGAATGAGAGTTAATACCATGACTGATAACGGGGCCAGAGTGCTGCTGCTTCGGGGGAATGTAAAATCGAGGAGTAATGGAAATGCATTTTAATAAACGCTCGTGTATAACACTCTTCCCTTTTTTTTTTTTTCCTTCTTTTTGTAATGCAAATTATTGCTGTTTCTCGCCAAAAACGAAAGGGCGTATGATATGTTTTGCACGCGTAAATAATTGTAATGAAAAAAAAAAAAAAAAAAAAGGGCCTTACCTTTTGTACAGTACTCGATAAGACGACGAGGACATGCAGTTGACGCTCCAATCCGTGTTGCCGTGGTCGTTGCATATCGTTATGGAGAATCTGCCGTAGTTGGCGCGAATCAGGCTTATTAGCTCGCCCTTCTTGCACTCCAGCTTGAGCCATTTGCCCTCGCACGCGTACGCCGTGTCGTATCTCTCTGCAACACAGAAACGCGCGCGAAATAGTATCACCATTCACATTTTTTCATACATAGTATATATAATAATATATGCTCGTGCATTTGAAATTGTATGGCATTGTAACTATACAGTATATCCTGTTGTGATGCGTGCGATTATACGATATAATATCGATTGATAATCCTTCAAAGGTATATAATATAATGTTATAGATATACTACGCACACACCCTTCACCGCGTCAAATTTTTTCTCACAGCGTATTTGTACAGTCCACTCTGCGTTATACACGGCTGACTATCTCAAGTCAAGTGTATATGAAACAATAATAACGTATATGGAAAACATCATGACGATGGCTCGGAGAGAGTTGTTGCGTAAACTCGCCGCCCATCGACACGCAACAATGCTCATTGTGCTCGTCATCATTATCATTATCATCGTCCTCGTCGTATACCCATATACTTGTCATTTGGAGAAAACGAGAAATTCAAGCGCCTAATATTCCTATACTTACTCATGTTAAGGATGATGATAAGTGTTCATAAGTTCAAATGTTCACTTTTACTTATATGCCCTTTGTACAAGCAATCAAAGTACGAAGCAGTTTCAGAGGTATACGTTTTATGGACAGCGAGGCGAGTCTGTTGGAAAACTAGTGTCCACGCCGAAGTAAAAATTCAGCGACAAAAGAGAGCTAGCCTGGTCGTCGAACAATTTAATCATCACGCGTGACAGCTGAGCTGCTCGCGGCAGAAGAAAAAAAAAAAAAAAAAAAAAAAAAAAAAAGGGGAGAGGGTCAAGGAACGGCTTATCCGCCAAACAGAGGAGGAGGAGGAAAACCAGACGAGACGAGCGCGGGTATAATAAAATCGGAGATATACAAAATGTATGTATACGCGTTTGGGTTGCGATCTAATCTCCTCTCTGCGGTGGCAGCAGCTGCCGGTGCGCCAACCCGGGGCTTTTCGTCGATCCGCGCTCATTGATTTTGAGCGATATTCTAACTACGAGCCGACCACCCGAGTGTACTTTTTATCTGTACACGCGTGTACGTATGAATTCCGAAACAATTTGGTGGAGGAAAAACTGGAGAGAAAAAATAGTAAAAAAAAAAAAAAAATAAATAAATAAACGAGAGCAGAACAACAAAACTATATAGAATAAGGGACGGGGGATGGGGGAGGAAATAAAAGTGGGATTGTTAAATTTGCCATAATTACACGTGTAGCCGTCAAGGAGAGCCGGGAGAGAGGGAGACGAGTGCAATATGTAATTTCTAGACTTCAGGCTGCGTGTAGGTATGTATATATGTACATACGGCCCTCCCCGATGCCTTTTTCTCTCTTCCCCTCGGCCTATTACTACCTCCTCCTCCTCCTTACACCCTTTCTCGGTCTCCCTCATATTTGCCAGCCAGGTGCGTACAAGTGCAGGAGCAAAAAGGAGACGGAGACTCGGGCGAGCCAAAAGAAAAGGAGAACAAAAAAAGGGGAAGGAAGAAAGGTGGCTGCTTCACGGAAAGGTACCTGCATTTTACGAAGGGAAGGGGGTTGTTGCTACCGCCGCTCCAGTTGGTTTGTATATAATATGTACGTACACGTGTATATAGCGGGTAAGGAGAGAAAAAAAAAAAAAAAAAAAAAAAAAAGATCGAGTGAAAATCAATTTAATGAAGATTTTCACGCAAGGCTCTGTATTAAAACGTGGATACGCGATCTCGACTAATGGCCTGCAAGAGCAGGGCGATGCATATGATGCCACGGTGGAGGACCGAGAGGAAGGGGTGGGGGGACAGGTAGAGAATCGCAGTTTACCATTAATGACTCGGATAATAATATATCGGGACTCGGGGAGTCGTGCCTCCCGCTGCCGCGTCGGTAGACTTGAAAGTATCTCCCCGTAACAGTGGGATACATCCTCGCTTCGCAAAGCCTCCCTTCCTCTCTCTCTCTCGCGAATATGCCTCCTCCCCGCCTCCTCCTCCTCCTCCTCTGACTTTCCTTTCCGACAAACTTTCAGATCCCGAGAGCTGCACTGCTGCGCACACAGAGCTCGAAACTTGGGTGTATACACGTAGGTATACTTATTGAAACGAGAGAGCCGTAATGTATAGCCTTCGGAGAGAGAACGCACGCTGGCTTTGCTTGGACCCCCTCCCCCCCTACGCCCTTGCCGTTCTTCTTCCTCTGCCTTCCGCTGCTGGCCCTATTTTTTTTTTTTTCTTTTTCTTTCTTTTCTTTCCAATCTCTCCTTTTTTTTTTTTTTTTAATGAGAAGTGGGTATATTGGGAGGAGCGGTGTGTACGTACAACAGACAAAACACCGACGTTCGCACTTCCAGACCACTGTACGGGAGGGGCGGATTGGAGATTTGTGTGTATGCGTTGCGCAGCGAGAATAACCGAAAATTGAAAAAGAACTTTTGATTAAAAGCACCAGACGCGCTTCGTGTATGTGTCTTGTTACTCCTTCTGCTCTTATTATCTTTCGCGGTGTCTATATAATAACTGAGCGCTTCGCGGAAAGCTCGCGAGGGTCCGCATACGTGTAATATATTGGGAGGAAAAATCATCATACCCGTCGCCATGCTCTAGGCGCGAGAAATAACGATCAAGTGTATATACTTATTCCCTCATTTTTTTTTTTTTTTTTTTTTTTTTTCCCCCCCTTTTTTCCCGGAGGAATTTCTACTTTTGTGTGG